TTGCAAAATGACATGTGATGTTCTGCCATACATGAATTATGCTGTTACAGAATAGCATTTACAAAACTTTGGCAAGTAAAGGTACTTTTAATTAAAATGAATAATGAGCATCATCTTAAACTAGACTCAATTTCTATCCAGATTTTTTAAGCAAGTTACAAGTTCAAAATACCATCATGCATTTCACTATTACTGCTGCACTACTGCCAATTTGTGGGGGTTCCCAGTCATATTATCCTATGTGAAAAATATACACATGCCACTTCTGCGAAAGAAATGTAGCAACAATAAGAGAAACTGATGAAGCACAAAGGGCTAGACCAGTGGCAGCCACCCTATCTGGTAGGTGTGCTACAAATTAAGCCCTATGCCCTGCAGGGGCTACTCCCATCCTCTTCCCCTGCCTGATCCACCACTCTACTCTCTGCTCCCTGAATTGTGCTTCCTCTCTGATCTTTGCTTTGTTTTCTGCTCCCTGCTCTATATGCTGCTGTCTTGTTTTCCTCCTCCTTGATATGCTGCATGCCACATAGGCTAAAAAGCCCAAGGCAGAACCAATCTTAGTTATGTGGTTTTCTGTAAGCAGCTCAGTTTAGATCAGTGGTGAACAGAACACACATTTGCCTTTTGGTGGGGGGCCAAACCTTAGACCAGGGTCCATCATTTTTAAATCTGTCTATGTGTGCAGAACTTCTGTTCTGTTACAGGTATAGACTGGTTTTGTGTGCTGAACTGTTATGGAAAGAGACCAATTTCTGATCACTTACACCATTAAAAGTGTAATATCTGTACCTGGCTATAGAGGTTGCCTGTGCCATTTTGGGCACATATAGTATAAGCTAGCCACCCCTGAACTAGATCTACATAGAGGACATGCCCTGAGGTAGACAAGCAGGATATCTATACAAAACATAGCAAGAGTCAGACACTTTATAATGGGATTAATGAAAGGCAGCAAAAGTTGACTGGGGAGCTCCCTAAGCTAGCCAAGGACAGGTATGTGGCATAAACCCCACCCTTCTCTGGCACTTCTCAAGCAAATCCTAGGACGTCATTCTCCAGTTGTACTCGGCCTTGGTGAGGCCACAGTTACAGTACTGCATCTAGTTTGGGGCTCCACAATTCAAAAAGGATGTGGAGAAGCTTGAGAGGGTGCAGAGGAGAGCCACGCACATGATCGGAGGTCAGGGAAGCAGACTGTATAAAGAGAGGCTGAGAGCAATGGGACTCTTCAGCCTAGAAAAGCGCAGGCTTGGGTGATCTGGTGGCCACATATAAGTTCATCAGGGTGCTCACCAGGATCTGGGGGAACGTTTATTCACCAGAGTGCCCCAAGGGATGACAAGGATGAACGGTCACAAACTCCTCCATATACCGTTTCAGGCTGGACATAAGGAAGAACTTCTTTACTGTCCGGACCCCCTAGGTTTGGAATAGACTGCCACTGGAGGTGATTCAAACACCTACTCTGAATGCCTTCAAAAGACATCTGGATGTTTATCTTGATGGGATTCTATGCTCCCTGCTGACTTCCTGCCCCTGGGGCAGGGGGCTGGACTCAATGATCTTCCAAAGTCCCTTCCAGCCTTAATGTCTATGAAATCTATGAAATCTAACCAAAACATGAAAGCAAAAATAAGAAATGAAAAAGGCTGAACTTAACTTGTTCTGGTCCTTTGGGGTCACTGCAGTCATTGCTCCATGCTGCAGTCAAGGTGTCTCAGCCATCCTCACCTGGGTGCCGGTTAGCCTTGGGGCCTCATCAAGGTGAGGGTGGGGTCCTGTCCAGAGACCACTTTGCCTCCGTGCAACCCTCATATCACCGCTGGCCTCTGGCCTCCAAGAGACCTCTTTGGCAGCTGCCCCAAACTGCTCTTATTCCCCCTCTCCTTCAGGGATGGGCAATTCTGACTGGCTTGGATGGCCATGTTCCTAATCACCCACTGCTGGGGAATATTCCCCCAACTGGAGCTTACTGTTGGGGCTGCACCAGCTGTGCTGGCTTCCAGCTGGCTGGTGAAACTGTGCCACAGCTGCATCTTCACTGGAGTTGGTGGGGGGGAGGGTTGGAACTCCTGGGTTGGAAGCGGCTCAGACACACTCCTCCCCAAAGTAGTGGGTTCTGACCCCTTACGTGCCTACATCAGCTTTTCCAAAAGACATGAAGGAATGGGGCTCTTTCATGGGACGGGGTCCTCAGGGATGACCATGATAACCCTAGGTCCCCTTGACTGTGCCAGTTCTGCCCAATGGGCACCCTCTTTCTCTCCTGCCACGGCTCGGTGTAACTGTAATAGATGGGGCGGCTGCCCTCAAGATTGTAAGTTGCACATGGTACTGATGGACCCCACTGCACCCTGTGGGTTCTCGGACCCACACTGGACCAGTGGACCCCAACTGGAACCACACTGTGGGACCCACAGTGTGGATCATGCGAGGTCCAGAGGAGGGCCACTCGCATGATCAGGGGGCAGCAGGGCAGGCCCTATGAGGAAAGACTACAGGACCTGAACCTGTTCAGCCTACACAAAAGATGGCTGAGAGGGGATCTGGTGGCCACCTACAAACTTGCCAAGGGGAACCAGCAGGCAATGGGGGAGTCCCTGTTCCCCCAAGCACTACCGGGAGTTACAAGGAATAATGGCCATAAGCTGATGAAGAGTAGGTTCAGGCGAGATATCAGGAGGCACTAGTTCACAGTTAGGGTGGCTAGGAGCTGGAACCAACTTCTTGGGAAGTGGTGCTCGCCCCTACCCTGAGGATTTTCAAAAGGAGGCTAGACAAATTTGCTGATGACACTAAGATGTGGGGGGATGTGGGCACACTAGAAGGAAGCAACAGGCTAAAATCTGACCTAGACAGGTTCAAGGGTGGGCGGATGAGAATAGGATGGGTTTCAACACAGACAAGTGCAAGGTGATGCACCTGGGGAGGAACAACCAGCACCATACCTACAGGTTGGGGAACTCCCCTCTTGTCAGCACGGAGGCAGGAAAGGATCTTGGAGTCATCATTGACTCCAAGATGAACATGGGTTGGCAGTGTGGGGAGGCAGTTAGGAAGGCCAACTGTACCTTGTCATGCATCCACAGATGCATTTCAAGCAGATCCAAAGAGGTGATCCTCCCCCTCTATGCGGCACTGGTCAGGCCGCAGTTGGAGTACTGCATCCAGTTCTGGGCGCCGCACTGCAAGAGGGATGTGGACAGCATGGAGAGGGTCCAGAGGAGGGCCACTCGCATGATCAGGGGACAGCAGGGCAGGCCCTATGAGGAGAGGCTATGGGACCTGAACCTGTTCAGCCTCCAAAAGAGAAGGCTGAGGGGGGATCTTGTGGCCTGTTATAAACTAGTCAGGGGGGATCAGCAGGCATTGGGGGAGTCACTGTTCCCCCGAGCACCACCAGGAGTGACCAGGAATAACGGTCACAAGCTGGCAGAGGGTAGGTTTAGGTTAGACATCAGGAGGCGCTATTTCACGGTCAGGGTGGCTAGGGTCTGGAACCAACTTCCAAGAGAAGTAGTGCAGGCTCCTACCCTGGGGGTCTTTAAGAGGAGGTTAGATGAACACCTTGCTGGGGTCGTTTGACCCCAGTACTCTTTCCTGCCATGGCAGGGGGTCAGACTAGATCATCTGCTCAGGTCCCTTCTGACCCTAGAAACTATGAAACAATCACCTAGCTGGGTCCCTTCTGACCCTAGAAACTATGAAACAATCACCTAGCTGGGGTCATTTGACCCCAGCATTCTTTCCTGCCCATGGCAGGGGGTTGGACTTGATGACCTGCTTAGGTCCCTTCCGACCCTACGTATCATGAAACTATGAAACTATGAACTAGGGTCGAGCAGCCAGAGCAGAGTTAGGAACCTGAGGACCTGCCCTAGGTTTCTGAGTGGAGCATATTGTAGTGGGTACAAACCCCTTTGACTCGCCTCTGTCCCTAAGGCATGACCCCTTCTGTCCCTGATTTTTCCAGTCTGTCCTTCTCTCATGAGTTTGTACCCCCCACTTTAGGCCTTGCTCCAAGTACCAAATTATTAACTTCCACATTACCTTTTCTATGGAGCTTCTGCCTTGTTGAAAGTACTACAAACTGACCTGGAAAAGGCACCCTTTTTTCTGAATAATACTGTTTATATGGAGTTAGACCAATGTAATTGTAGCAGTGTTATTGTAATAATTATGCTGGTAAATGTCCTCATGAAAACAACCCTTATACACCGCCTACTGTGATCTATTCCATTGGATTACATGTACACGGCTGAAGACCCAGAGCAACACAGAATATGCAACTAACTACACCAGCTTGTTTGAGTTAGTAACCTATTTACATTTGTATAGTTCATTGCAAGAATGATCAGCTCCTGCGCAAAATGTATCAGCTTCTATATCAAATCACTGTCACTCACAATCTGGCACTGTAAAAGTTTTTAGCTCCAAAACTGTAAGTTGGGTACTATATTATTTCACCAGCTACCTTGAATTTAACAGATATGCAACTGTTTGATCATGAAAATCCACCTGCATACAGCTATATTTAAAGTGCCTAAATAGAGACAGCTGTAACAACATGTGTTTAATGTTCATCCTCTCCCACCTTTAAAAGGAGGCCCTAGTCCTACACACTCACATTTGCAACAGTATTCCCACTGATTTCAGTGAGGTTTTGCCTGCATGTAGATTAATTCTATGAGTAACGGTTGGAAGAATGGACTCTTAAGCCAGGGCCATGTACCACATGCTTCTGCTGGTATAAGCATGTTCATCAGACCTGGGATTAAGTTTGATTGGTGGCTGACAGTAGCATCTAATGTAGACCTTTGTATGCTGGTAGAGGTAGCAGATAACCTCTGCCCTGAATAAAAGGGAAAATTCTTCACTGGGATAAAAAGTGAAATTCCATTGGAGGTAGTTCATGTTTGCATCAGTCATAAATTTGTCTCCAAACCTCTTGCATGTATTCTTGCATTCATTCTTTGGTCATAGTTTTGTAGAACTAGGTAAGCAGTTAGACCCATCATTCTAATAATGCTCCACATTCTTCTGCGCAAGCAGGACGGGGAGCAGATATATTCACAATATGAGACAAGTAAGACTGAAGTCAGACCGTGTGTCAATAGAACAGTTCCCAGTTGCACTGTGGAAGATTTTAACAGAGCCTCCACAAAACTCTGTCAGAACTACTGTCACGTAAAAAAAAAAGAATGGAAAAACAAAGCATATCTTGAGATACTTTAGATGTCCCCTATCTTGAATAGCAGTCATACCCATTAATTCCAACAACTAAATCTGGTGGCTACAGAATGGAAATTTGGGACCAAGTCCTAGTGAGGTCAATGTCAGCTTTGCCATTCAGGTCAGTGGGAAGAGGATTAAGTCCTGAGTGCGAATTAGATTTATTTTGTACACCCATGGAATTCATATCATCTCTGATTTTTACTCCATTTCTCCCCTGGCTTGTACACCCTACACCTGCTTGTCAGCAAGTTACAAACAACAAAATAATAATAACGATGAGCCTTTCTACTATGGGCCGTGAATATTTTAAAAGTAGAGAACTATTTTAGAGTTTCAGATGGTACAACAAAGGCCAGCAACAGCCATAACACGTCTTGATGGACAGCAGCCCACTAGGTTTTCTCACATTTTGTAACAGAAACCAGGCACAACTCAAAATTAGAGTTAATAACCTTTTCAAACAGCAGGAGGTCTCATTCTCCTCTCAGTTACACAAACAGAAAGCCATAGTAACTCCATTAAAGTCAAGGTGGAAAAAGGTGAAAAAACCCACATAATGACCAAACAGTATTTTTCTTATTTGATAGTGGCTTTTGCCTATTTTAAAATATGTTAGACATTATTAAAAGCAACTGAGAACTAAAAGTGCAGAACTAAGGCCTTTAAGAAAATGTATTTGTATTTTGTTTTAATTCCAAAAATGGGTTTTACTAAGCTCCATCTTACTAATGAACGTGTTCACAAACCAAGGGCTAAATTCTGCAAAGGTAGCCATAGGAACAAACAGATGCTGGATAATCTACCTCTCTTACTAGTCAGAGTGGGCTTCCCTAGAGCTGGCTGGGGGAAGATACACAGGATCAACACATCTCTTACTAGTGTTTCCTCCTGACAGAATTGTTTAGTTGGGTGAATGAACAGGTGACATGTTTACACTGGTGTAAAAAGTAGCAGACATGATGCAAAACTCTAAACCAGGATAGCTTTGCACAGTCTACTGAAGAATCCTCCTTTGAATAAGGAATCATGGGTAAACTGCAGCAATATAAATTACACCAGTTTAAGTTTTGTCTGTCCATATCCTTCCCATGTAGCCATTTGGTATAGGTAAATAGGTTACAGGCCTGCTCTTCTACTACCTAGGCTAGGGACAGACATTCAAAAAGCCTGAGCCTCAGCTGATTCAATCTTTGCAGGTTACTCTAACCTGGCTAGGCTGAACTGGTTTGTAACTGTACAGATATCCCAGACATGCAGGCACATGCCTACAGTGGCTCAGGCTAGAAGCTGGGGGTGCTAGAGCAGCCCTCCCTTCCCTTGCATAGGGCTGAGCTGAAGGGGGTGTGGCCAGGCCCCAGCAGGATGCTGTGATTAGGGAGGGGTCCCCTCCTTGGTAACAAAGGATTTATTAGCTTTGTTATCAATATTTAACACCCCATCAGAAAACAAGGCTCGCTCACTACAAGTTCTTCTTGAACAGCTATTTTTCAAAGGAAGGAATGCGGGGACATTGCCAGCTGAGCTGTTGATTACCTCCAAAAAGCCCTAAGCAGACACTGTCCTATCTGTCTTACACAGCATTAGCTAGCATACCACATGCAGGTTATAGTCCGTACTGTGGGAGACAGGAGGAAAGGATCTCTGCTTAAGCAGTGAGTGGTGAGATCGGGGCATGGGGAAGCCAGAAGACCCTGCTGTGCCTGCAATTCTGTACTGGAGTGGCAGCCAGGGAGCAGAGGGGAGGGGCCAGCCCTGCTGTGGAACAGAGAGCCCCACCCAGCCCAGACAGCATGCTGGGATGCTGGGGTTTAGCTTAAACCAGCCGAGGGTCTGGGATAGTTGTTGCATAAACTGGTTTGACCCAAATCAGTTAAGTCTGATACTACATTCAACCAGGTTTATCTCAAACTGGTTTCAGCCATTTTCAGACCTCTGTTCCGTTACAGGTTTAAACCAGTTTCGGATCACTTAAATCTGTTTATAAGTAATGTCTGTCCCTAGCCCTAGTGGTAAAGTCCAGTTATACTTACTTTATTTTCCTGATCTTGGTGTAATTTATGTTAGTATACAAAACAGATGTAAATTTTGTGGGGTATATGTTTATCTGCCCATGTATCATGTCTACCCTCAGAGGTCAAACAACCAGGGGCTGCACCCAGGGTCTGGCAGTGGCTGAGCTGCTGGTGGCAACTACAGCAGGTAGGCCAGAAGCAGCATCAGCTGCCATTCTTGCGCCCCCTCTAAGTGAGTGCCCGGGGCTGGTCCCTCAGCAAAGACATGTTTATCTGTACAGTTTGTTTTGCTGGGGTTGGTGAAGGCTACTACACCAATACAGATGGTAAACTTTCTGGTTCACCACACTAGAAGCACTTTGCCCATAGAGTACAGCACTATAGACACTAATGTGCTCTTAATGTAAACTATCATCTTAGATTGTTAATGGATTTTGTTGGCATAGCCATGTCAGTTAAGAACATGAAAAAACATTCACACCTGAACCAATTGTTATACTGGCAAAATGGCGTTCTGCAGACATGGCTTGCTCTAGCAAAAAGAATTCTTTCATTGGTATAGCTCGTTAGGAGTGTTCAACCTTTTTTGGTTGGTGTACCCCCAGTGGCCGGTCAAGAAGCAGGGAGTCCCCCAGCCGGTCAACAAGGGCGGGGGTGGCTGGTGGCCAATTGACAAGCGGGTTTATTGATGAGTTGGGAGAGTGGGGTTTCCCTCACACGCAGCGGCAAAACTGGAAATGCCAACAGCAAAATCCGAAGTGCCGATGGCAAAACTGGAAGTGTTCCCCGCTTCTCCGCACCACTGCCATGTACCCCCTGGAGTCTTCCCAAGTACCCTCAGGGGTATGTGTACCCCTGGTTGACAGCCCCATGCTTATGTCATTCAGGACTCCTACCAATGTAGGCTGCACCTCCACTACAGGGGGCTTTACCAGTATGGCTACACCAATAAAGCCTTTGTAATAGCGACAAGTCGTTAGTCAACTAGGGATCACTGCTCAAACTCACAGACCACCCCCAGCTGGGCCTAACGGTACTGACTGTCCTCATAAACTTTTTCATGGAGGCTCTGGAGGCTCTACTCCAGGCACGGGCAATTATTTTGGGCGGAGGGCCGCTTGATGAGTTTTGGTGAGCTTTTGAGGGCTGCATGGGTAGCCCCGCCCCTTCAGTTGCCCCACCCCCTGGTCACCCACTTTGGACCAGAAGTTCTGCCCCCTAACTCCTAACCTTTGCCCCCAGAAGTCCCTCCCCTTGCCCCTGGAAGTACTCCTTTAGGAGAGGTGGCCTTGGAACCTGACCCCTCCCATAAGCAAGGACCCAGCCCACCCCATCAGGCCCTAGGCATCAAAAGCTGGCCAAGCCCCCGCACCCATGACTGGTGCCAGCATCATCTGGTTCTGACCCATCCTAGCCTGCCCCAGAACCATCCCCCTGTGGCATAGCAGAAGCCAGCCCAGGCCCAGGTCTCCTCACCAGCACAGCACCCTCCAGTTCTGTGGTACCCCTCTTGTCCCGAGCTGCAGGGGGTTCAGCCACAGCTTTCCCTCCTCAGTGTGGCCCAGCCAGCCCATCCTGTCCCCTATCAAGCAGTGGCTTCCACACGTGCTGCTGCACTTCCCCCTACCTGTGCCAGCTTGTCCCAAAAGGCAGGAGGCTCTGCCACCGCTTCTGCTGGCCAGTGCCGACCCAGCTGGGCCCCGTCCCCAGCAGCACATAGGAAGCCGGCTTCAGCAGCATGCTGCTCCGAATGAGACAGGCCCAGCCAGCTCAGCATTGCCCAGGAAAAGCGGCATGCAGCTGAAGTCGGTTTCCCATGTGCTGCTGGGGACAGAAGGAGTCCAGCCAGGTCTGCACCAGCCAGCAGAAGCCACAGTGGAGCCATGTGCTGCTCAGGACAGGACAAGCCTGGCCGGAGTGGTAGGGGCTCAGCTGCATTTTCCCTCTACCTGCTCTGGTCAGTCCTGAGTGGCACATGGCTCCGCTGCCGCTTCTGCTGGCCAGTGCCGACCCGGGCGAGCTCGTCCTGTCCTCATCAGTACATGGGAATCTGGCTTTAGCTGCATGCTGCTCCGGATGGGATGGACCCAGCCAGGTCTGCACTGGCCAGCAGAAGCGGTGGAGCAGTGTGCCGCTCGGGACTGACCGGTGCAGGCACGGGGAAAGTGCAGCTGAGCCCCTGCTGCTCCAGCCAGGCTTGTCCCGTCCTGAATGGCACATGACTCCGCCACCACCTCTCCTCCCTGATGCTGACTGGGCTGGAGCTGTGGCCCAGCTGCTGCTTCCCCTCCCCACAGGGTGGCAGTGCTGGCCACCCTGACCCTGTATGGCCCGAGCGGCATGGCACAAGCCTGCCCAGCAGCCACTTTCCTGGGCTTACCTGCAGGGCAGGGCCCTTTCCAGTCCCATGCAACAAAGCAGAACCCGGCCCAGACGCTGTTTCCCCTCACCGGTGCCGCAGGTTCTGACCCAGCCACTCCTGCCCCTCTCAAACTCTAAACGTGGCCTAAGCCAAGGGCGGGGTGAGGCCAGCTGGGTCAGGCTGAGGTCAGGGTTGGTTGCTTCGCAACCAGAACCCAAGTAAACAGCCTGACGTGTGGTGACTGCCACTAGAGGCTTTTAGGAAGGCAGCCGCCATTACCTGGGTTTTGAAGGGGCTCCGTGGGCCAGAGGGAAGTGGATGGTGGGCCGCATCTGGCTCATGGGCCATATTTTGCCCATCCCTGCTCTACTCACATTCTCTTCCTTTCCCTGTTTTACATGCTATGCAAATATCTAAAGGGCGATTATAGAGAGGATGGAGATGGGCTTTTCTCTGTAGCTATAGGAGACAGGACTTGGAGCAAAGGCCTCAAGCTGCGGCAGAGGAAATTTAAGTTGGAGATCAGGAGGAACTTTCTGACTATGAGGTTGATCAAACACTGGAACAGTCTTGACCTAGAGAAGTTGTGGTGTAGCTGTATTGATATACTGTGGAGAAGACCAGGTTGGATAGACACTTGGCTGGGATAGTTCAGTCAGGGATGGACTAGATGCCCTTGTGATGTCCTTTCCAGCTCTATTTTCCTATGATCCTATCCAGGGCAGGATTTGGTCTAAAATATGTTTTCACATCTAGTCAGCCATAGCCTGCTCTCACTTGTCTGAAATCTGTTGGGTGACTGTAGATTTTACTAGTGTAATTGAAAGAAGGTTTAACCCATACTGAAAGGCAAAACTATTTGCCTATCATGGAGTTATGAAACATCACCTTTGTAGTAAGCAACGATTGCCTGAAATACACAATGGTTGTGCTTTCTTTGAGGAAATCCTCATTGTCTTTACTCAGTGCAGGGTTAATATAGATTGCAACAACTGCACTCATGTATTTTCAGTAATGGCTGATATCAGCAAAATTGTTTTTATGATTTTTTTAATTGATGTGATAATTGGGTCAAACACAATGTAATCTGGGACATGACAAACTGCCATGTTTACATTATAAAAAAAAGCTTTTATTACTATTACCATAATACAAGACAAAGTCATAATTAATGTAATTTGCAAATATGTTATTACATTAGTTATGCTATGCAAATCAAACAGTACAAACAATTGTTTTAATGTATCCTCGATATTCACCACATACTTTGTGTAATAAGAATGATTCTTTTGTAGCTGCCTGTTAAAATCCCTTAATCATCTTCCATAATGACATTTTTATAATAAAACATGAGGAAGGAGTTTGATGTGATTCCCTGTGAAAAAGGTGAGCAGGGAGAATTGTGTTAAAATTAATTTTTTTTTCTAATACATTACCACTTCAGGAAGATAGAACTAATTGGAATAAGGCTGACACAATAGTTCATTAAGTATTGGGATTTATTAAAAAACCTTCTTGACAGGGAGGTGGACAGCTTTAAAACAAATGGGCTAAATTCATTACTGGTGTAGCTCCGTTGAATCTTAATGAATTTATTTTTTTTTTCCCCCCTGACTCTAATCATGCCATCTTGAGCCATTCCTGAAGGAGCTGCAGGACTTGGCCCTTTGTGCCCTTCTGGGTAAGTGTACCTATTCTGGTATGAGTTACTGTGCTAGATCTTCAGCCTGTGTAAATCAGTGTGGATCTCTTGACTTTAGTAGTATTGCATCAGTTCATGTTAATTAAAAAAAGTCAGATGTGGAGGAAACAGCTTGATTGCGTCAGAAATCTGTCAATGTATGCATTCCCTGACTTTTCAAAAACTGGAAGCCAGATCCCTTGCTGTGTTTCTCTGTGTGTCCAGAAGGAATAAAACATTGACACTAAAGTTGTCAAGAGCAGTGGTCAGCAGTGTTTTCTTGCAGCTGGCCAAAATGAATCTGCTCAGGTCCAACGCAGGCCAGCGCTAGGATCCAGCTGCTGCTGTTGCCACTTCACACTGCAGCATGGCATGGGAGAAGCTCCCTGCTACACAATGCCCTCTGGCTTTGGGAACTGAATCCAGCCCACAGATCAGAGGTTACCAACCCTGACTCTAGGAATCACAGTTTTACTTTTTTAGTATGACCTCCATTTCTAGGCATTCTCGTGTAGGCGTGAGGATAGAATTTGGGAGTGTCAACTAAGCTCTACTTTCTGAGTTGCACACGGAACGCTAAGTCCTCAATTAACGTGAACTAATGCAATACTACTAAAGTCAAGAGCTCTGCACTGATTTATACAGGCTGAAGAGGAGGAAACATCTTGATTGTGTCAGAAATCTGTCAATGTATGCCTTCCCTGACTTAAATTGGTCCAATCAGCCCATCTCTTGCCCTTCAAATTGCAGCTTTAAGCAGAAAACATATCATATGGAGAAGCTATTACCTTTCTGATTTATTCCATACCTGGCTACAGAGGTTGAGCTGCATTGTGGTCACAAAGGGCTTAGAGATTACTATAAAAGGAGGCGGATCTGTAGGTAGCCACTTTCTTGTCTGCACAACTCCTGGGCCCAGATTTCTGGTTTGGGTTTGTGGATTTAATCCAATTTTGCCCTCTTTCATAAGGAAGCAGTGAAGGACACATGCTCTTGTATTAACCTGATTGGGGGCCATGGGGTGGATCCTCAGCTGCTGGAAATAGAAATATACAGTCGTATCAACTTGTACCTTCTGAGGCTCTGTAAACAAATTTCTGCCTTCTTATGTCTGTCATAAATTCCTACTTCAACAGTAATTTCAATCTGCAAATAACAATGGCCTGGTTCTTCTTTCATTGGCATGTAAGCTAGGCTTTGTGCAGACATTATAGCTAAAAGTTCAGGGGGTTAGACTGGATTAAAAATAGCCCCTGATCTAAAGTAAGTCAGGGTTGGGGGA